ATAGCTGAGGGGGGTAGAAGGGAGGCTATTTCGAAGATTCTCTCCGGTTGGGGTAAGAGGTAGTAGAAATCGTTGCAGGAAGGAAAATAAAGCAATCTGAAAAAACAGCTTCAGCTAGATAAAAAATCAGATTAGAACCGGATATTCGAAACTACTCTTGTATCTCTTCTGATAATTTTGGGAAAAAAATTCATACCAAGTTGCAAAGATTTCAACATAGAATTATTTAAGAGCATGGCATCAACTAATAACCCATCATCCTGACGATCATATACAACGTAGTATCAAGCGTGATATCAAAAAGGTAGCTGGAAAGGCAAACCTTGAAAAGGAGGGACAATTTTCTGTAAGTTCATCAACTAGTTTAGCTTGGATTTTATCATGTTGGCACACTTCATGTCTACTATCTTCAGCTCGAATCGGTGATGGCCGAGTTCAAGTTGTCCAATAATACTTTACGTAGAATGATGACACATATGAACGATAACATGGACAAAGGCCTTGAAGGTGGCCTTAAAGTTAGTATAAAGCGGTTTTTTTTAACTTTGTTACTTAATACTGTGTTCCTTGTTTTAGGGTTCGACTATTGCTATGTTGCCTTCATTCGTGCCAGAATTACCAGACGGCACAGGTCAGCAAAACAAAATCATCCATCGCACTTTTCCGAAGTGGAAAAATAAGAGCTGATGGAATGCTTTTTTTTGAAATCAGTGAAATTATCAAACATATTCAGAACGGGGAAAATATGTTGCTATGGATCTTGGTGGAACGAACTTGCGTGTGATGATTATGGAGATCGAGCCTGGTGAGCCTATGCGCACAAAGCAGTTTAACACCAGGATGCCAAATGCAGCTATGCACGGTAGTGGTGAACAGGTTGGAGCTTTGGAACCAAGGAGACCATCAAATTTCTGAGCTATTATTGTTGTTACAGTTGTTCGACTATATCGCTAAAGCATTGGCCGATTTTCTCATAGAAAAAGATGTTGCCCATGATAATCTACCAGTTGGGTTCACCTTCTCTTACCCATGTGACCAAACAAGTCTTAGAAGTGCAACGTTATTGAGG